CAAATTACGCATACCAAGGGCCAAGTTCCAAACCTTGCCCTCCAGGGGCTTACACTCACCAGGGTATAAGCTGTGATAGAGACAGATGGGCCCCCACCTCAGCTGAAGGCAGCCAGGGCCGGGTTCCTAAGGGATGTGGGAAGTGAGCGCCATCTTACAGGATGGATAGATACTAGCCAAGTGAGGGGAAATGAACTGACGGGTGCAGGTAGGGGAAGAGGTAAGGCGGACTTAAGACAGTGTCAACAGTTCAAACTGAGGTCTGAAATGGCAAGTGGGGTGGGTGGCGGGGGATGGCAGCGGAGCCATCAGTGATACAGAAGTCTTCGTCTGCATATTCAGGAGCTTGGATGGAAGGTGTAGAAATCACATGGCTTGGAAGAAGCTGTGCATCCTCAAAACACCTCAGTTATGGACCAAAGCTTCATAAAGAGAGCACTGCACCCAGAAACCCCTAGGCTGGCTGAGTGGGGGCTGGGGGATGCAGCCAACATGGAACTCTCTGACCTTACCCTGGCCAGGCAAAGGGCTTCCAGGAGGGATGGCGCCAAAGAGTTACTTCGAGGTCGATGAGGTCAAATGTGTTCCTGGAGCCAGGTGTGCCAGGCAGGCTGGACTTGGACTTGCTTCCTAGGCCCAGCCGACACTCTTTGTGGACACTGGAGAACGTATATCGGATGCCCCCCACGCACTCGCCACGTGACAGGCTTAAGGGCAGCACAGGGAGCCCTAATTCGTCAAATTGGGAAGAATGATGAAGCAGAAATTGCCCGCACCTCTCCTTTCTGGTCTGTTTTTCCCTGTTTTTATAGGAACCCATTTCTCTGAAGGCAGATGTGCCCTTGGATGCAGGTAGCACAATAGATGCACGTGGAAGAAAGACGAACAGAGGCAAAATGTAAAGCTACATGAGGTCCGTGCAAATTTGTCTAACAAACAGGATTTCTCTGAGCATCATGGTAGCTGAACACCGCAGCAGTGCTTATGATGACAGAGGCAAATAAGATAAATATGTGGTCGGGCCATATTGCAGAGGAGAAAGGTTATCAATTGCTTCTGACCTGTAAGAAAGCTGCAACAGTCTCTGTGAGATAAGCACACACTTTGTCTGTTACACACACAGAAAGGTTCTTTTTAGGGGAATTTGGTGATGGGTTCCCCCTGAGGTGGCTGCTTCGGAACACTCACAGGTGCTGCTGGCTGTGCCCTGGGCTCCCAATCCTGGTTTCTGTTGAGCATCATNGATAAAATTCTGAGGGAAGGTGAAATGGATACAAATCAAAGGAGAAAAAAACAATATAACATTTCCAACAGTTGAGGCACATTAATGCATTTTTTAAATGGATGATGATGGGTATCAAATTGGTGTGGTGTTTACATCTCATTAAAAACATGCAAGGGGGGAGGGAAAAAAACATGCAAGGGGGTGCACGTTTTTCAAAATTGTGCTAAATGGGGTGGGGTATAAGTTTAACCAAAAAAAGTTTGAGGACCCCTGCATCATCGGGTGCCCTCCTAAGTGGGGAGCCTAAGGTTTCACAGCTGGGAGGAGCGTGGAGAAGAGCACGTGGGCCCAGCACTGACATTCCCCTGGAAGACCCTAACCTGGGCTCCATTCCCAGGGAGACCCTCCAGCTCCTGCGGCTCCACGTGGCTCCCCGGGGCATGAATGCCACAGGGAAGCCCTCTTGAAGCGGCTTTGGCCTCGGGGTGATTGCACGATTTGGTGAGAGCGGACGCGTACCCGGGTGCTGGACGCCGAAGCCCGGGGCACACTCGGTGTTGCGGCGGCAGCAGTCGCAGTCCTCGCTCCAGTGGTAGCCGGCCGTGCAGGCGCAGACCCGCGGGGCCGTCCGGTTGCCGGGCACCACCGCCACCAGGGCCTTGCCTGCGGGAGAGACAGGGCGGGGAGGCAGCACGAGGAAGCACAGGTATGCACACCTTCCACCCCGTGCAGCTCCCCAAGGCCAGCCCCAGAGCACCCAGGACCAGCGCTGGCCTCTTCCCGGACCGTGACCTGTTCAGGACACTCCCAAATTCCCTCTCGCGCTTCCTGTGACGGCACTAAAACATCCCAGTGGGTTTTCTTCTCTCTCAATAATTAAGAGTCTGGTGTGGTGTTGTTTTTTTCCGAAGTCAGTTTTCATGTTAGCAGGAAGATTCAGGACTGGAGGGAGGGCTTATGATCACTGACTACTTTGGTTAATGCAAAATAGACGTCACCGATTCTTGATTTTTAGTAAATGCAAATGTGATCGTCTTACCAGGAATGCTAGGTAGGACCTAAGAGAACGGGCTTTCTGGAGGCTGGGGATTCCTCCTGGGACTCTACAGGGACCCAGCATGACTCAGTCTGGAAAACAGGTGGTTTTGACATTAGATGAGTGGACCAAGTACTGAAGACACACCTGGAAATTCATCTCTCCCCAGATACTTCGGATAACAGTTTGTCTGTTTCCTCACAACACAGAGCGAAATGCTCACCTCTTATCCCAAATCTCCTGGACCTTTCCAGTTTTTGTGCATTAGAGGTAAATGCTCAGACACAGTTATTCACTGATTCATGTTTGCAATTTCATCCACTTGCTAAAATTTCATTATAGCCCCCAAACCAACACCCCTGGCATTTCTGCGGTTGTTCTCAGACACAGCCAGAACTGTGAAAATTTTGAGCCACTCGAGTGACACGCGTGTTCCC